CTGTGTGTCTCAGAGTAGAACTGTGCTCCAAAGGGTTTTCAGGGCTGTGAACTGTCAGAAGCGGGTCACCAAAGGCCCACCTTCCAAGATGCCTCTCCACAGGCTTGAACCGCTAACCTTTTGTCAGTAGTTGAGCCCTTAACTGTTTGCCCCGCCCAGGGTCGCCTAGAGGGTGGAACCCAGACCTGTGTTAACCCAGTGTATCCAGAGAGGACTCAGTCTGCCCTCAGAGACCTCCAGCTCCCTGGTGCTGAGCAGGGGGAGACCTGGAGCCAGGCCCCGGAAAATCCCTGCTTTGTGTAGGGCTACTCAGGGCTGGTTCGTAAAACACCAACAATCCCCCTTTCCCTCACCTCCAAGGAGTTTAATCTCCCCTAATCAATTTAGCAGACTCGCTTGGTTGTAAACGGTAATGATTTGCATTTTTTTGAGCCTTTTTATCCCTCTTTAAGGAAAAAAAACGGCCTCCTCTGTTCGCTCTGGATGGCTGTGCGGAGTGGCAGGTCTGTGAGCTGCTTGTTAGCGCTCACCCTGGCTCTGGGCCAGCGCCAGGTGTCAGCGCCTGGCGGTCGCCTGCTCCGACTCCAGTGGGGGAGTGGACAGGGCTGCGCCGGACGCCCACAGCTGCCCCTGGCCACGTCCTGGCCCAGAGAGCGTGGTGTGGCCTGGGGGGGCCTGAGCCACTGCAGCCTTGACGGCCCCTCCCTGCGGCAAGGCCCCCGGTTTCCTCCCAGCACTGCCTCGCTCGCTCCACCGCTCCCTGACTGCCGCATGCAATCTTCCTTGTTGTATTTTTCATAAGCGGGAGGCTCAGAAGCCCTGCTCTGCTCCCTGGCGCGTTCAGCGTGAAGCAGGACTCTGGAGTGGGCTGGGTTTGGGGCTTCAGCTGCCATTTGGTGGAGATGGCGGTGGAAGGCCTGTCCTGAGTGCTCCCAGCCTCGCCTCACCTCCCGTGTGCTCTGCACCACCGCTGGGGTGGACCCAGATAGGTCCTGGGCCCGTCTCCTCGGAGCCCAGTCAGCCTTCAAGGGTCCCTCACCTGGCCTGTCCCTCCCGCTCTGGACCACCCGGCCTCGAACAAGCTCCAGCCTTCCAGAATCTTCAGGGAGTGAGTTGGGGGAGTGGGTGGGCGGAGGGTCCCCTCTCAGCCCTTGGAGCACATGTCTCTCCTGGCTGAAGCTAGACCCTACCTCCGCACCCACACGCACTTCACAGAAACGGAAATGGTGTGACGGATTCGCAAAACACGCTTTACTCACACCTTTCCAGAATCACCCTCCCTGACTAGCTCTTGCCCTGCCTCAGTTTCCCCTAGCTGGGGCTGGTGCAGCCTTCCTGAACCCTGGGCCAGGAGGAGGCAGTCAAGCACCTGGGCCCTGTATCTCTGGAGTGAGAAGAGGTGTAAGGCAGGGGTGGCCTTCAGAGGGGCCAGGCCCCACCCAGCCAGCAGCATCTCCTCAGCCATTGTCACCCAGAGTGGGTACCACGGCCTCTGGGCCCAGAATGGCCTCCTTCCCTGGGTGGGGGAGGACCCAGCCGCCATGTTAACATGGAGGCGGGCCAGGGAGCTGGAGCCAATAGACAGGAGAAAATGTCGGCTGAGGGACGGGGGAAGGAAAGGAGGGAAGAAAGAGGCTTTCGATGCACATCGTGTCTGCGGAATTGAGTATGACTAATTAATAGATTTTATTCTTAGTAATCTCTTAAGCATTCCATACGTCGGCCCAACGCCTGAGCTGAGCTTACAAGAGGCCTCATTCGCAAAATGCAAATGACACACCGGCTGCTGCCTTCTCTCCTGCTTTTTTTTTTTTTTTTTAAGGGGAATTTAAAGGAAAATTGCCATGTAATAGGAAAGAGATTCCAATCACTACATCTAATTACCACAAAGGGTAAACCACTTAGCCAAAGAAGTGTCTTGGGCTTTTACCCCTTTAACTTTAAGGCCGCCTTCAACGCCACAAAATGGACTCATCAACCCTCAGGCCAACGAGGTGCTTCTGGCTGGGCAGGGGCCACGCAGGCTCCCCGGAGAGCTGGCACCGTGCACAGCAGGGGCAGGCCCTGGGTGTGGTCTTTGGCTGTCCGGCATCCTCTGGGTGGGAGAGGCCGGGCACCAGGAAGCCTCTTTCTAGCTGGTTCTGTTGTGTGGCCATCTCAGAGCTGGACTGGGAGGGGATGAGGTCCAGCGGGGACCCGCTCTCAGGAAGGACTCTTGGAAGGTGAGGGATGCAAAGGGGCCAGAAAGACGTGACAGCCAGTTTGAGGAGCTGGTCTGGGCCTCAGGTGGGGTCAGTGGGAGGGGAGGATGCTCTTTTGTGAGTCAGGCAGGACCTGGGCGCTGTAGCCACCGTGAGATGGGCTGAGCCCTGACCTGAGTTCCCTTAGTGCAAAGCCAGGCAGAGGGGACTGGTGAGTGTCCTCAGGCCTGGGCTTCTGGAGGGTGGGTGGCAGGGCTCCTGCGGGCCTTCCTCTGGGCCATGGGGGAGGAAATTCATCACCTCTCCTGGGCTCCAGAGGGGAGCTGGGCACAGCCGACTCAGCCCTGCCCGTTGTCCTCCCAGGCCGAGCTGTGCCTACCCTGCAGCCCTGAAGGCTGTCCCGTAACCACCTTCCTGGGCTCTCAAGGGATAAGCTGACCTCCTGCCTGGGGTGGGGAAAGGAGAAAGCGGTACCTAGAGGGAAATTGAGGGACCAGGCATGTTGGCAGTGGTACATTGCAAGTGCTCAAGGCTTGGGCGATGGCCTTCCCGAAACCCTGGCAGAAGGTCGGAGTGGGGCTCTTGAAGGGGGGGCTTTAGGCTTCCACTCCCAGCCACCACCTCACCCCTACTTCCTGGGAGTCCCTCTGCTCCTCCTCCCAAAGGCCAGTAACGGGCCTGCATCTGGGGCGCTCCAGTCCAGAGCAAAGCCGGCTTCTTACAGATTAAGATTAAGGCTGGGAAAATTTCTTTCCCGACCTCGTTGTATCAGAAATGAGTCAGGTGGGAAAAGGAAAGAAAGGTATGATTTGGGGGCTGGATTCCTGTTGTGTGAGCCGACGCGGCGGCTGGCTGGACTCATTCGGCGGAGAATCTGCATCTCTCCCGGCTTGCAGCTGGAATGTCCACTTCTCTCTGCCCCGCCTCTTCACCAAAGGGCCCCGTCAGATCTTTTCTTGTCCTGGAAGTGACCAGCCCTTGGGCACATCACGACAGCCCTGGAGCTGCTTCGGACACTCCTCTTGCTGCCTTTGCCTTTGGTCAGAGCAGCGAGGCCTTTTGAAAACACCACCGCCGGAAGCCGGACCTTCTCATCCCCCTGCTCGCCACGCAGTGGCGTCTGGCTCTTCTTTGACATGGTGCATCCCCAGAGCAGGACAAGTGGCACGTTGACAGATGGTGACCTGCGTTCCCTGAGTGCCGGGATGCAGGAAATATCAGACTCTGGGCACCACGCCTCTCTTCTTTTTAGACCCACTGTCATTATTTCATCATCATTTTAATCTCATGGCTCACCACACTGCTCTGTCAGTTGATAAATGGTGGCAACATTCATTCCAGAGGGGGAACTAAAGCCTTAAGTCCTCTGAAGGTCCAGTCACTACCCTATTTGAGGCCGGCATTTTTAGAAAGATCCAGTCTGTATTCTCTCTCAGAGAGCACAGTTCCAGGGGTGGGCACGGCTGCGTTTTCTGCATTCTGGGGGTGCTGTCTGCCAGGGCTTTGAGGAGAATTTTCCTCGCTTTTTCTAGGCTTTGTTTGAGCAGCCATGGAAACCATTAGGTCTAATCAGCTGAGAGTTAAAAAAAAAAAAAAGAAAAAACCCATCTCTGCACCAATTACCCGTCCCGGGAGGAAGGCCACAGCACTTAGTACCTGCTTAAAGAGTAGTTACTGAGGTGACTGCATCTGTGGGTGGGAGAGAAAGGGGGACACGGGCCATCAAGGGACGCTTTTCTCTGTACCAGAAAGGAGAGTGGCCCAGCTCCGGCCGACCTGAGATAGGACTGAACTGAAAGTGCCCCTTGCCCCTTGTCCGCCCTCCACCAGCTCGGACAGACACGCCTCAGCCTCTGGGAACAGCAATATCCACAGAGGACTGAGTCTCCTCCCTCCGACCCATTCCCGTCCCCGATACACTGTCTACTTACTCAATTATTTCTAGAAGAGAGCAATGATTTTGCGATTCTACAGTCTCGGGAAATCGTTATGAACTGACCCAAGAAGTACTGTCAGGAGGGTGTGTGTGGCTCTCCCGACCCCGCTACATTCAGATACATGACAGAGAAATGTACGAACAGAGAGCTACGTCTCCCTGCGCCTCCAACAGCAGGGAGCTTGGCAGCTTCCGCGGGGCGGGTGCCCTTCTGTGGAGTGTGGTGCGTGGGACCAGAGAGCCTTTCAGTCCAGGAGGGGAAAAAAAAGTCATCGTTTTAACTGACTACGGACTTCTTTAGAGAATGCCATGAAAGACGCGCTATTTCTGCAAATCTGTAAGGGAAACGATATGGAAGGAACCAGGATGAGATCTCAGGACAGTTCCTCCCAGCAAAGACCTTCTCCCCTTCTCCTTCGTGAGGAGGCCAAAAACTGTCCACAGGAGAGCCGCCGCTGAGAGAGCTGCATGGGGCCTCTCGTGGCGACAGCCTTTCCCTGCGAAGGCCCCAAACACAGACGTTGTACAGGTAGTATCTTTCCAGTTCAGGAAAAAAAAAAAAAAAAAAGAGAAAAGAACTCAGCCCAACCCTTCCCGCCGTTTTATTTTCAATCCTTCCCTCCCCAACTGGCATCGTTCCGTATAAATTATGTCTTCCACGACGTCGAGTTCCCCTCCTGCCTTCTATTCTTTTTCTTTTTTTTTTTTTTTTAAGGTTCCCCCATTGTTGTTGTCTATAAAATCGTCCGCCCTCCCCACACTTTGCTTTCTGCTGGGAAAGTCACCGGGGAATTTCTTTACCTTGTTCTCTCGGATGGTGGCAGGCTGGGCAAGGCCATGCTGCCGGGCCGGGGGGTGCCAGGAGCCGGGGTGGAGGTGGCCAGGCCGGGCGGGCATCATGTGTAGGAATAGTCTATGTCGGGGATGCCGGCGTCTCGGTAGCCGCGTGTGGTACCATACCCAACGGTGTGTGTGCCCTTGCAGAGGCTGCTACCGTTGGAAGGAAAGATGGTGTGGACCACATATTCCTCCCGGGCGTGGTACGGGTTGATGGGCAGCATCTGAAGCCCAGGGCCTCGGATTTCCAGGATGGAGTTATCCTTCTTGGTCCCCGACTCCATATAGTCGTCCTTTTTCCGGTTACCCCGGTTGTAGGCCCTCTCCCGGCTCAGCAGCTCACCAGCCCGGTGCACGTACCAGCAGATGGCACCCAGGACGAGGAAGAGGAAGACCAGTGCCACGGCGCCACCGATGATGCCTGCCAGAGGCAGGCCTGCCATGGGGTCAGCGTTCTGCTCCTGGTTGAGCGTGGTGGTAGGGCCGTAGCTGTCGGCCGTCTCTGCCTTGGCACACACAGGCGTCTCGTCGGCCATGTAGGCGTTGCCGGTCTCCATGGTGACCATGCAAATGATGTAGGTGGACTTGGGCTCCAGGGCAGTCAGCAGGTACTCTGTCTTGTCTCCCTGCACCAGGGTCTCTGTGATGGAGCCCACGGCCGGGCTGTGGCCCAGGCGCAGCCAGCTGAGACGGAAGGAGGAGGCGGGGAGCGTGGCCTTCCACGTGATGCGGATGGAGTCCGCGGTCAGCGGCTTCACATGGATGACCAGGGCCTTGGCACCGTCGCCGGTGGCCATGGGGTAGTCAATGTTGGAGTCAGGAAGGCGCAGCCCCGGCCTCTTGGCCTTGAGGGTGAACAGGGAGCCCTGGGGCGTGGTGGCCAAGGCGTGGTTGCTGGCTGTGGTTTTGGCGGCGGCGTTGGCCACGCCGCCCTGCACCGCCGTGTCGAAGCACTCGTCCATCTCGCTGGTGATGTCCTTGATGGCCATGCCCCGGACCTTGTCGGGGCCCTGGCACATGAGGCCCCGCACGTTGACCACGGCTGCCCGGGCCTTCACCCAATCCCTCAGCCACATGAGGTTGCAGCCGCAGAACCACGGGTTGTTGCGCAGCAGCAGCTGGGCCAGGCTCTCCAGGTCGTCAAACAGGCCGCGTGGCAGGGTGGTGAGGTTGTTGTTGGACAAGTCCAGCCGCTCCAGCTCCCGCATCCTGGCCAGCGTGTTGTAGGGGATGTGGCTGATGGCGTTGTCCTGCAGGTAGAGCTTCTGCAGGTGGGCGCTGGGCAGGTTGAGGGGCGGGGCGGCCAGCGAGTTGCGCACCAGCGAGAGCTCGGTGAGGTTCTGCAGGCGGCTGAAGGTGTCGTCGGCGATGCGCTGGTTGGCCAGCAGGTTGCCGTCCAGCACCAGACGCCGCAGGCTGTGCAGGCCCTTGAAGGCGTGCAGTGGGATGGTGGAGATCCGGTTGTCATCCAGACGCAGCTCCTCCAGCGTGTGGGGCAGCCCCGAAGGGATGCTACTCAGGTGGTTTCGGCTGAGGAAGAGCAGCTTGAGGTGCCTGCTGTCCGCGAAGGCATCCTCCTCGATGCTGACGGTGGACACGGAGTTGTCGTCCAGGTGCAGCTTTTCCAGCAGCGGGATACGGGCCAGCGAGTCCCTGGCGATGGTGCGCACGTTGTTGTCCTGCAGGTGCAGTTCCCGCAGGGAGCGCGGCAGGTTGACGGGGAACTCGTCCAGGTCGTTCTCGTACAGGTAGATGACCTGCACGTTGACCTTGGTCTTGAGATCCTGGGGGATGCCGGCGTTGTTGATCTGGTTATTCTGCAGGTAGAGGGTGGTGGCGTCGTCGGGGATGTCCGAGGGGATGGACGTGAGCCCCCGGTCGTTGCAGTAGATGAAACCATTGTCACAGCGACACACCGAGGGGCAGGTGGTGCTGTCGATGACCTCGGTCAGGAAGGCAATGAGCCCGTAGCAGAGGAACAGCCAGTCCCGGAGGTCCATGGTGGCTGTCGTCATGATGACGGTGGCCGTGACTGTGGCGGTGGGCGTGGTGGTGGCGGTGGTGGCAGGGTGTGCCACCACCATGGTGGACAGCTGGGGGCGCCTGACCCCACCTGACCTGGGTCCTCCACACCTGCAAGGAGCACAAGACCCGTGAGGAGAGAGCAACAGAGCCGAGGAGCCTGCCTGAGCAGCGAGTCACGCGGTGCCCACCTGCCCGATGCCAGCCCATGACCGCCGTCGGTCCCTGCAGGGCAGAGGTCAAACCACCAGGCACGCGTGCTCGGCCTTTTCATGCCAGGGTTATGTCACAGGCAGTGGCTGTGGCTAATGGAAAATCTTACCAAGGGCAAAAACCAAGCCAGGCTCACTGCCATCGAGTTGTTCCAACTCTTAGAGACCCCCTTTGGATTTCTGAGGCGCTCCGTCTTTACAGAAGTAGACTGCCCAGTCTTCCTTCTGTGGAGTGGCCAGTGGGTTTGCACCATCAAGCTTCTGGTTAGCAGTCAAAGGCCTTAGGCACTGCACCACCAGAGCTCCTGAAAGAAGTTGCTTATTAATTAGATGTCTGCGGGCCCACGGCTCCCCCAGAGTGGGACTGGGAACTTTGGGAGAGGCTAGCTTGGTGACTTCTGGTTTCGTCTTTCAACATTTCCCCTAAGTCAGTCTTTACAGCTGGTGCTGGGGGCAGTGGTAGTTCAGTGGCCGAATTCTCCGTTCCATGTGGGAGGCCTAGGTGCGATTCCCAGCCAGTGCACCTGAAGCGCGGCCACCGCCCATCTGTCACTGGAGGCTCGGATGCTCAACGGGCTTCAGCGGAGCTTCCAGACTAAGACAGACCAGGAAGAAAGACCTGGCAGTTTGCTCCAGCAGTCAGCCATGAAAACCCTACGGATTGCAACAGTCCTGTCCTCAAGTGACCGTGGGGTTGGCGCAGGATGGGGCAGGGTTTCATTTGATTGTGTGTGGGGCTGCCATGAGTTGGGGACCGACGTGGTGGCAGTTAGCAGTGACCACGTGGCTCATGCCAAGAGTGCAGGTCAGTGTAGACGGAATGGACCAAGGGCACGTGTGACGGATCCAGAGCAAGAGCGTCACCTAGAACAGGGACCGCACAGCACGAGCTGGCTCAGACGCAGGGTCTGGAGCGAAAGCCGAATTCTGGGAGGCCCACGAGCCCAACACTAGCACCTGCAAAACAGCACCTGCCAGCGTCGTCACTGGAGAGCAGCCGAGAGCGGTGCTTTATTCTTTGGTGTTAAAACATGTCCTGTTTGTCACTTGTCCATTTCAGAGACAGAAGAATCTGGCGTCAACAGAATCGTTTCCACGTGTATTTACAGAAGCCTGCTTTGAGCCGAGGGGCCCTCCCTGGCTCTGCGCTCCGTTCTTGGTGGGCAATTATCCCACACCTCGGCCCCTTCCCTAATCATGAAACTTTTAGCTATTTTGGAAAAAGGAAAAAAAAACAAACAAACATACATATATGTTTTCTTGTACTTAGAGAAATGAAATGAGTGAAAGGAGGGAGGGGGTCTATGCTCCGAGGGAATTGTCTGCAAGGTGTAATTTCAGTTTTCACAAATGGAAAAATTGCAAAGTAGATTTTTCTCATATTATTTTACTGTTCAGAGTGATAAAAAAAATCAATTAAAAAGAAATTGTCTTTCAACTTCAGTGGGAAGGTGTCGTCGTGTAGCTGGCAGCAGGTCTGCTGTATAACCTAGCTTCATAAAGGCTTTTGATGGCAGGGCCCAGTGGTCCCTCGGAGCCTGAGATGAGACCCCAGCTGGGGAGCAGCCCTGGTGGGTGAAGCAGAATGGCCGCCTGATGAACACACCAACTCCTTTGCCCCAGGCGCAGTGACTGAGTGACCTCATTTCCCACCCTGGCAAACCCTTCCTTTCTGTGTCCCTTTCTCTGTTCTTAGACTGCTCCCATCCATCTGCAAAGTGCTCTTCATCCCTGGGGACCAAGTTCAAATGTTTCTTCCTCTGCTAGGCTGAGGTACAGGTAGATGCTGCAGACAGAGCTCCAGACATCCAGACGTCCATCCTCCCACCCATCCATCCATCCATCCATCCATTCCATCATCCATCCATCCATCCATCCGTCCATCCATTCATCCATCCATCCATCCTCCCACCCATCCATCCATCCATCCATCCATCTGTCCATCAGTCATCCATACATCCATCCATCCGTCCATCCATCATCCATCCATCCACCCACCCATCCATCCATTCTGTCATCCATCCAGCCATTCATCTACCCATTCATCCGTCCATTCCATCATCCATACATCCACCCACCCACCCATTCATCCATCCATCCATACACCTACACATTCATTCATCCATTCCATCACCCATCCATCCATCCATCCACCCATTCATCCATCCATCCACCCACCCATTCATCCATCCATCCACCCACCCATCCATCCATTCCGTCACCCATCCATCCATCCATCCACCCATCCATTCATCCATCCATCCATACACCCACACATTCATCCATCCATACACCCACACATTCATCCATCCATTCCATCACCCATCCATCCACCCACTCATTCATCCATCCATCCACCCACCCATTCATCCATCCATCCACCCACCCATTCATCCATCCATCCATACACCCACACATGCATCCATCCATTCCGTCACCCATCCATCCATCCATACACCCACCCATCCATCCATCCATCCACCCACCCATTCATCCATCCATTCACCCACCCATCCATCCATTCCGTCGTCCATCCATCCATCCATCTACCCATTCATCCATCCATTCCATCATCCATACATCCACCCACCCACCCATTCATCCACCCATCCATCCATCCATACACCCACACATTCATCCATCCATTCCGTCATCCATCCATCCACCCACCCATTCATCATCCATTCTATCATCCATCCATCCATTTATTCATCCATCCATTCTATCATCCACCCATCCATCCATCCATTCCATCATCCATCCACCCACCCATTCATCCATCTACCCACTCACCATCCCTTTCCTCACCTTTCTACCCATCCATCCATCCATCTGTTCATTCACCCATCCATCCAACTACCCATCCATTCCTTTAGTCATCCACCCATTCACCCACCCATTCATCCATCCACCCCCTCATTATCCTTTCCTTCACTTTTCTCCCTCCATCCCTTCACCCATCCATCCATGTATCCACCCATCATCCATTCCTTCACCCATCCACCACTCACTGAGCCATCCATCCTTCACCCATCTCTCCATCCTTCCATCCACACATCCATCCATTCAACAGATTTTTATTGATTGTCTACTATGTAAAGCTTTTGTTCTTTACATATTCTGGATAGTACACTCTTAGCAGATATATGATTTGCAAGTACCTGGTTGTAAGAGTTCCTTATGTATACTACACTTTACGAAATAGATAATTTACAGATACTTAATTGTAAGAGTTATGTATGTATATGTACATAACTTATCAGATCTGTGATTGGCAGAGGTTTGGTTAAGGAAGTTTTAGCTGCTGGGGTTACAGTGTGCTGGTCTCAAAGCTCACTCCATAATAGAGACCTTGCCTGGGGCTTTGTGACCATGTCATTGAATCCTCCCACCAAACATGAGGTCAGTGCCCCTCTTGTTCCCATTTTGCAGATGAGGAAACTGAAGCCCAGAGATGTTGATTTGCTCAAGGCCACCCGAGAAGCAGTGAGGGCTTGGGACCAGGCCATCTGGGTCAAACTCGGGCCAGAATCTTGACTGCCTTTCATCTTGTCTCTGAGGGCTGCAGCCTATGCTGTTTGGTGACTAGTATTTCCACGTCTCTGCTCAATGTGGATACCCTAGGCTGCATGGTATCAGTGACCATCCAATGACAGAATGACCCCACAGTGCCACTGAGTAAGGCTGGGGTGCCACTGCACCTCACGTCCGTTCTGTGTTTGCAGGGGCTCTTGCTCAGTCACCCGGCAGCTCTAAGGCCTTCATCAAGGCGGGGGCGTTAACCCTGCTCAGGCCTGTGTTGGTATGAAGTAGACCCAATGCAGGTGGAGGCCTGACCCCAGACACCCTGGCTGGAAGCCAGTGAGGGCAAGGGGGAAGGGCAGGTGGGGTCTGCCTGTGGATCTGGGGGATGGTGGAGAAAAGGCCCCCCGAGGAAAGGAGAGGTTGGGGAGGCCTGGAATAAGGGGTGATGGATCAGCCAGTGGCCCCAGCTCCGTGCAGGTGGCAGGCTGCCCCCAACACTTGGGGCCCTTAAAGCCAGCATGACCCCTCACACCGGTACCCACTGGCACTGGGGGCTGAGGGTGCTGCCTGCTCGTTGCCAGGCTGGGTGGCTGTGGCCCCACCCACCCTCCTAACACCCCTGCTCTAGCCCCTCAGAACTTGGGAGCCCTGAACGCGGACCTCTGCCTGTGTCTTGGTTTCTTTAGTGATGCCTGTCTGAGCCTGGAACCCAAGTCTTGGCCTAACCAGGCCATCCTAGGAATTTCCCTCCCTCCTACCCAGAGCCTGCCCCATGTTCCCCAGCGGGGATCCCCTCTAGGGTGTCCCATGGATGTCTCATACTCAGTGCATCCCACCCGGACCCTTCCTGTGCTCAGCTCAGGGGCAGCACCCCCCTACCCTGCTCGTTCAGGCCAAAAAGCTGGGTCACCCTCGGTGGTCCCCTGCCTCCACCCCACCCAGTTACCACATCTCACAGCATCTTGCACTTCCATTCATTCCCCACTCCTATTCCTTGCAGGCCCTCCTTTCCCCTCAAGGCAGCTGACACCCTACCCTGGATGTGGGCTTCGCCTCTCCTGTCTCATTCTGGCCACCACCATTTGGCTCCTGCCAGACCAAGCTGCTCCTAGCGTTTGACCCCTTTGTCTTCCTCTGGTGGCATAGTGCCTAAGTCATTGACTGCTAACCAGAAGGCTGGTGGTTCAAACCCACCAGCCATTCCTCGGAAGGAAGATTGGGCATTCTACTCCCGTAGAGATACCGCCTCGGAAACCCAGGAGGGTTGCTATGAGTTGGGATCAACTCTACAGCAATGCATTTGGTTTTTTTTTTTTTGGTCTTCCTCTGGGGCCCTGCACATGCTGTTCCCCTTTCTCACACACAGTT